GCAGCAGGGGCTCTGTCCAACTGCCTCCCCAAGGGCCCTGCACCAACCTCAGCCTCAGCATATGGTCTCTCTTGGCGCCCTACCCCTACCCCGACAAGCCCCCCTTTTCCTTCCCCTCCTAGTGACACACCCCACAGGCCATTCTTATGGCTCTTCCAGCACCTCCCAGCAATGATCTCAGGTACACTCATGACTTCAAACGTCACCAGCATGCAGGGACACAGCAGCAGCTCTCTCTCGAGTCAGCCTCTCCAACAAACAAGGATATTTTCCTCATAGGTCTGAAGGATTAGTGAGGCTGAAAGTCATTCGGCATACATCTGACACCCTAAAGGTGGTCGCCATTACTCTTAAAATCACCACCCAGCAAGCCAACCAGCAGTAGTGAGAAATGTCAGTGACTGGACTGGACTTTTGTTTTCCCATTATTGTTGTTGCTGGGATAAGCATATTTTTGTGAGGCTGCCATCAGCCCTCCCTTCCCCACAACCCCTATGGAGACTTCCCCAAGTACCAGTTGCTGCACTGGGTGCTACACCCATGCACTCCACTTAATCCTGAATACAACCCTATGGTGTAATGTTGACCATCACATGCCTTGTCCAAGTGGGGAAACGGGCACAGAAAGGATCAAGAGCTTGCCCAAGTGGAGGAGACGAGATTTGAAAACAAGTAAGTTGGCAGCAGCCATACTCTTTTTTTAAAAAAAGGGTTGACAATTTAATATTCATATTTACAATACAAACGAAATCTGTATTTTTTTTTTTTTTGGTCTTACTTCTCCCCTCCAAAACTATTTTCTCTTTGATAGGAAGGAGGATCAAGTCTTTCTTATCACACTATTAAGAAAACACCCACAGTCACAGCACCAAGATCTTCTGGTGAAGTAGAACAAGTAATATAAAATTGATACAGAGAGGCCTGCCCCATCCTTCTCTGTTTGGTCAAGTCATTCTGAGCTGAGCAGGCACTATCACGGAACATCTGGGAGGTCTCATCACTGGGGCCCAGGCATTACTGGCATGTGGTCTCCCACTGGTGGCCTCATTCCAGCAGCATGTCTCACTGTCATCATCCCAGGAGCAGGAGGGCCCCTCATATGGGGTGGACAGGAGCCATACTCTTAACCACTTACCTTAGCACTCAGTGTTAAGCTCAAATCTTCTAGAACACACAGTGTGAAAAACTAAACATCCACTGCTGTGTGTGTCTTGATGAGCTGCTGCTAAAGTTCTGTTCTCATGGATAATCTGCTGATCTTAGTCTCACAGGCAAGTGTGAGAAGTAACCCACTGTGGTTTTAATCAGCGTTTCTCTCATTGATGCCTTGTGTAAATTATCTGTGTTTCTCTGTGCCTTATCTTTTTTGTTTTGTTTTCTTTTTTTTTAAAGAATCGTAGTCTCCAGTGGCTCAAGCCTGTAATTCCAGCACTTT